TCTTAATCAGGATATTAATAAGGAACTAGCAGTTTATGAAGCTTTTGGAATAATCCACCAATTTTTTAAAATTAAACACTATCTAAAGATTTGCATCGAAGCGTTTTTTTTTTATAGTGATTTTAATCACTGTCAGATATCATTATACTTGATCCAACTATGCCACGTCACCACTGTGCCGCGACCCCCCTGTGCTGGGTTTTTTTTTTTTTTTTATCAATAATATTTTCATGTAAAATAAAAATGTGCGCTTATTCAAGAAAAAAAATATGATTACTATGTTTGAATATGTAATATTAATAGTTATTTGTTTTTATTAAGCATTTGCTTGGTTTTGGTTGACATAATGAAGACCCTGGACGTTTGATTTTAAAATCAGTTTGATTAGAATGTTGACAACAGGATCGTCGTCTACAAGGCTTAGGCTTTTCCTCGATACAACATGGACGGCGTCTGGGTATAGGGTAGTCTTCAGGACAACACTTGGTATACACTTTTTCAGGTTTATAGCAAAATGAACACCGTTGACTTAACTCTTTAGCAAACCTAGGAGGCTCATCTTCGCAGGGTTTTCTTGGTAAACATGGAAAAACATACACAGCACAAAGATGAGTAGAAGTTCCAAAATTTCGACGATGCGACACTCCTTGTAGTGCTCGTTTAGAAATCGTCCACATAGACTCGTTAAAAATGTTTAAAGCGAGATTATTTGTTTATAAATTTGATTGTAACTATTACAGAGTTATAATAATTATTTAACTGAAATCATATATCATAAATACATTTTATTTTAAAATATATCAATTATGGAGTTATTTTTTTCTTTAGCTAATGTACCTATTTTGTACACACAATATACCTTAAACCTTTATTTAATTAATCAACAAAAGTAGAATTTACTTAAATAAAAATAACTGATAGTAAAGAGTATATGAGTTAGTTATTAGCTAATTCATATGATTTTTTTCTTCGAAGATTAAAAAAATATTATTTAATACTATTTTTTTTTAAATATTGGCCGACCCCAAGTAGTTAGGATTAAGTCAAAATTCTTACAAATGTTCTTAGTTAAGAGTTATAAATTAATATTAATAGACTACTAATAAAATATTTTTATAATTGAAATATTTGCAATTTATTTTAAATTTGTGGTTATTTTCTAAAAGTTGATATGTCAATTTTAGTATTTTTCAGGGGAGCAAAAATAAAATTTAATGATATCTTATGGAATTCAACATTTTTTAAATGCAAAGAACACATTTTTCTAAATTTAATCATAATTTTTTAACACACAAAAAAATATCCTTCTTTATAAATATAAAAAAAATACCTTTAAAATCCATTATTGTGACATATCAGCTTTTGAATATAAGCGACAGAAACAATTTTCTTAAATATTAATAAAACTTACTATTATCACCATATTATTATTGCAATCATCTATTTATATTGAAGTTTGATTTTTTTTACATTGACTATATAATTGAGAAATTAAAATATACACAATGTTTATTTTCATTCTTCTTTAATATGCTTAGAAACCTTAAAATCCATTTATAATTAAAAAATATTAATTTAAGTGTTAATCATTGCTAATGAATTCAGAAATGTTATAGTTAAATTAAAAGCACAAAAAATTATGAAATTATCTTCTCGGGAATACCGCAATGGTTTTTTATTGAAGCGTTAACATTTATAAGTAATTTCAAGTATGATATCTAAAATTCAGTATAGTTTTAAATCTGCGTACTTTTGGAGCTAATGTTCTTAGCTTATTCTTTATCAATATGTCATGCCAATTTGTACAGGACTTAATGACTCCTCCTACATGAATGAAACATGGTGTCGGAAATACTGTTGAACTTTTATGGTTACATCGGCAAACTTGACTATGCATAAAAGTATTGTCCATTAAGGGTAATTTTCGTGAGTCTAATATTATAGAGTCATAATGTATTTTACTACCAGAAATTTTATTTGAATCTTCATATATTCTGCAATTTTATCAATAATGTATCTACAAACTTTTGTAAGAAACATTATGTTTCTAAAGAAATATCATAGGTATTTAAATGATTCTCAATATTATTAATAATATTTATTTTTATATATAATCATAGTTATGCAGGTTTAAAAAGAAATAAATGAAAAAAAACCCAGCACAGGGGGGTCGCGGCACAGTGGTGACGTGACATAGTTGGATCAAGTATAATGATATCTGATAGTGATTAAAATCACTATCAAAAATAAACGCTTCGATGCAAATCTTTAGATAGTGTTTAATTTTAAAAAAATTGGTGTTTTATTCCAAAAGCTACTTGATCTGCTGGTTCCTTATTAATATCTCGATTAAGATAAAGTATGTCGAATGAAAAAGGGTTTATTAAAAAATATTATTTCTCATAAAAAAATTGTGTGGATCCATAAACTTTTCANAGCATTAAAAAAGAATGAGGTTAAGAAATTAAGAATATTACAATATAGTAACTATCATTTAATAGCAAAAATAATAATCATATTCAAAAATGAACGACATAGAATATAATATTTTAAATTATATGTTTCTAGACAAATAATTACAGTATTTATGTTTTCAAATCGCAAAAGAACTTATGTTATTTATTATATTATTAATTTGTAATATTGTTTATAATGTAATCTTACTTACATATTTTTTATTTTATCACTTTTTATTAAGTGACTAAAAGTATATTCCAAAAATAAAATCGCAGTAAAAGAATAAACAACAACAATGCAACAACCCGAAAAAGACATTTTTTTCATATATTATTCCGAATACAACTAAAATGGCTATTATATTTAGATAATTATTTTAAAAATATTTTTAGATGAAATAAGATTTAGAAAAATATAAATTTACAATAACTACAGTAATTTTTAAATAAAATAATTATTGAACGTTACGTTTATGTAGTGCGTTATTACTTTTATTCATTTTAAAATAATTTGCGAAATGTTTAAATGATTCTTATGTGTATAAGTGCATTTATAGAAACTCAATTAAAGAATAAATAAATAAAAAACCTTCTATTGTCAAGGATAATAACAAATTTTCTTGATATTTGTTCTAACACAAATAAAAATCACTAAATTTTAAACTAGGAAAGTATTATTAAATTACTTAAAATACTTTCTGTTAATGACTATAGCGAAAGATTAATTTGTATTTAAATAGTACAAAATTATCTATTTTATTTTGTTGTCTCTTCATAGAACTTTTTTGATAATTGTGTCGCTACTCTCGTCAATTTTAAATAAATATATATGTATTATTTTATCATTTGATAATTATTAGTACAATTAAAACGTTTACACTTTTAACTTAAAACATTTTTATTTTTACTTAAATCTATGTTACTTAAATGACGGTTTTATTTTTCATGTCATATAATACGTAATTGTAAATCAGAGATCGTAAAAACTATGTAACTATCATTAGCATTATCTATTTATTGTTCATCTGTCTTTTTAAATATGAACAATCGGTCGATTATTAAAATGTTGTAATTCCCGATCATTTTCATTTATAAGAACACCATCATTGCTTGATTTCAATGTTCGAAAAGCTGCCAACTATTAAAATATATTAATATATTTTTTTTTATAATTAAAATATAATCGTGTTAGTATACCTGTCTACGAGATATTTGAAATGGAGATGTAAAAGCCATCCATGTCACACTTTCAGAAAATGGTTCAGTGGTTAATGAACCTGGATAGGTGTAATAGTGCCGTTGATTAGCAGTTTTTCGTAACCAGAAAAATTCATCTCCTATTGCTCTTTTAATTGATGAACCAGGTCGAATAATATATCTTAAGTCATTAACAAATGATTCTATTTCTTCATCATCTTCGTCAATTGAAGATATCTATTTAATTAAATTTATTAATATTGCAGTAGTATGAATATATTATAAAATTATTTGAAGTGCTATAACAAAGTTACGTATTTTTTCAAAACTTAAAAAAAAAAGAAAAAATCTGATAAATGTTTTATGAATTTTAAAAATATCCATAATTCTTATTTTTGTAATGAAAAATTTTCATTTTGTCGTTCCAAAGTATATTTTGAAATCTCATAAAATTGAAATTAATTCTCTTAATATTGTTCTAATTCTTACAATTAAGTTAATTTTTAATAAAGGAAAATTATTATAAATTATTTATTGTTAAACATATATTTTACTATATCTCTGATTATAACAATAGTTACCTAAACCATAGCATCCCTACTCATAGTAATTTCATAAAAAAAGGGAGATATTGAATATAAAAATTATTTAATTACATATTATTGCAGAGTTATTGCCAGTTGAACTGAAAAAAGGTTAAATTCAACATTTTAAGTTACAAAATTTCATAAAAATCAACATTAAAGAATAAAATTAAAAAATTAAATTAATTATGACATTTTTAACATATTAAAAATTAAAATCAATTTATATATATATACACTCATTTTTACAAATAAGTAATAATATCAAAAAAAGAGATAATGGAAAAAATCTAATTGCAGATATAACCGTAAAATTGTGGTTTAGTAAAATGTACTTTACTCTATGCAGATTAAAAAATATTTTATTTTAGTGACGTGATATATCTGCGTAATTTAGTATAAAATCGATTTCTTTACTACTATTATTTGTGGAGATATTTAATACTAAAATGTATTGAAAAAACATATTTAAATAAAATATTTCTATTAAAAAACTATAATAGCTGTTTTCATCATAAATAAACATTTATAAAATATTTATGAAAAAAAAAGTATTTAATTATACATTTTTCAAAAAATTATAGAAGTATAAAGTCAAAAATTTTAAATCAAGAATTTCAACACAAAAATGGTCATTTATTCTTTAACTCTAATAACCATTTTCAACACAAAGATAAGCCCAAAGGTAAAATTTTTTTTTAAAAATAAAATATATCAAAAGCTTTAATTTAATAAATATATAAAAGTGTCAGTAATTCCGTTAAAATTTTCGAAACATAATTTTTCATGGAAAATTTACCATTTTGAATTCTTCACTGTGGATTGGTTGGGTTAGGTAAAGCTCTAAGATATCAATAAAAAATATTTTGATTTTATTTATCCATTTTTCAAAAAGTTTTGGCAGTTTTAAGTAAAAAAGTTGAAAAATGTCAAAAATTAACGATTTATAAAATTACCTTCTTAGCTTTGATGCAAAGCTAAAATATTTTTTTTTTTTATTTAATTAAATACTATTTATATTTTATGATATATTAAAAATATAAATTTAGATAATAATTATTTTTCTTTTTTTTTTTTTTAATATTTGAAAAACATGTACTAAATTTAAATATTTTTAAAATAGTTCTTTAATACAATTTTAACAAAATAATTTGAATAATATTTATTTATTTAATATATTAATATCTACCTCTCCAAAATAGCTAACGACACATAGTCCATCAGGATGTCTCTGGGCTTCTTCTGCATTGCGATATTTTTCATTATGATGAACTACATGAAGCTCCATGGCATACCTGAAAGTTTAAAGTTTATAAACCACATATTATTTATTTAAATAATTTTCTTTCATCCATTAAGTATAGAAAAATGAAATGCTAAAAATAATATTTTTATGTATAATAAATATCAAATTCCTCTAAAAATATATTTTTTTTTTTAATGTTTTGATCTAATAGAATGTTTATTATAACTTGTCTCTAATGAGAACATTTTTTATTTATTAACTATTTTTAAAATTTCAAACTATTTTTTAGCTTTTTTTTGCAAAAAATTAAGATGAGTTGAAAGATTGATTTTAATGGAGCAGAGATGCGTTATTAATATACACTTGTAAGAGCTACACACTCACTATGTATTAGGATGGCTCCTATTTTATATACTTTCTTGATTGATTTCTGTACCCACCAATTTTTTTCGTTATTATATGAAAATTATTGGGTAAAATTTCATTTTTGATAATTCACCACTCTTAATTTACTGAATCGGGTTTTTCAGTTTTCCATTATTTCTAAAACTAACACACTTAGGGTATAAATATATAGATAATAAATGATAGATTTTAATATTTTCTTAAAAAAAAAATTTAACAAAAATTTTCTAAAATTATTTTTACTTAATCAGAAAAATGAAATAAAAAAAAAATGTTTTTAAAAAATTCATATTTTGAACATGTTACAACTAAATGTATCGTATAAAAAATGTAAAAAATCATCGATTTTTATATTAAGGTTTATTTTGTACCATCTATTTTTCGAATTATTTAAAATTTTTAGTCACATGTTTTTTTTGCTCTTTGGTTGGCAAAAAGCGAAAATTGAAAAAGAAACACATTTACTAGTATTGCTAAAATAGCAATACTAAAAAAGTAGTTTATACATTTTTTTATAGGAATTTAAAATATCTGTTATCATATGTTTTATAACCATTTTATGTTTTTAAGAAAATTATGTCATTTACTGGAGTTTTAATTGAATGTGATACAATAAACTCGACTTGAGAGTAACGCTTATTAATGAAACAACAGATTTTTTTAGTGTCATTTCTTCAGTTAGAAACAATTGCAACTATTTTTTAAATAGTAAAATTTTTAATGAATAAATACCTTTTACGTGCTAAGTGATATGCTGATAAAATGTTATAGTCTTGTTTAAATTTCCTCCGAGAAATATTACTATAAGATCCAGAAAATCTCTATAGTCTTGCGAAGAAAATCATTTTGTAATTTTTTTTCAGAAAATTTTAATATTTTTCCCAATTATTTTTTAATATGTTTAAAACCATTGGATTATCAAACCAAATGAAATATTCAGTGTTAGTCATTTTTTCCCAATCTTTAACAAATTTATTAAAAGGTAGTATGTATTTGGACAAAACATTGAAGCAAATTTTGTTTCAACAAAAATGGCATGTAGTATTATTTCAAAAATATGATGCTTGCATGCTAATATATTATAATTCTGTCTAATTTTTACTCTAATAATACACAAGCGCCATTTAATCAATCATAGTTAGACGCTGTTGATTCAAATACAAAGTCTTGAACTTTTTTTAATAATGCCCACTCTTCTAATTTTTCTTAAACTGCTGAGGATACTTCATTACCAGTACCAGCAAATAATTGAGGTACACCTAAAAGATATTCTACATTTGGACCGGTGACAACAACGTGAAGACAATCGCATTTGTTTTACAACAATTTTGAGCAAAATTTTAGAATCCTATAGTATATCACTATAGTAAATTATATGTTAATTTAAAAAAAAAAAGTAGATTTTATGTCTATAACTATAAATTGGCGAAATTTTTTTCGCAAATTATTTAATGATATTTTATTTATTACATAGTCATTGAGGTCTAATGAAATGGCTTCAATACATGCTGTTAATAAATGAACAGCGTCTCTATCACTGATGTTACATTTGTTGAGCTGTAAGACGAGCAGGTATTAGGCTTTTTTTAGCTCGTTTATTAAGTACTAAGCTAGTCACGGTCGGTCATCTCATTTAAATCTTGATACAATTTTTTTAACTTTGTTGTACAATTATTCCGATCTTGTGTAGGGATTCATGCTTTTTTTTAGAAAATAATGTGTTTGTCTACATTCAAACTTAAATTAACATTACGCATATTATAATACAAAACAAGAAAACAGATTCTTTTTAAAAGTAATTTACTAACAGATATTTGGTATTACATATTTCCCACGATAAAAATGCCTAGTTTCAAATTTTTTTCCATTGTAAATATTAATTATAATAAAATATAAACTTATTAATTTAACTATAAAATAAACACAAACAATTTACACACTAAACCTTCACAAATGTTAATGATATAATATCCATATTACACTGTACTTACCATATTAAGCATAAATAGTTTACAATTATAGATAAAAGTTCAAAGTCACTGAGTATAAACTGGTTTTGATTTTGTAGTAAAAGTATATCGCTGCTATCAATAGATACTAATGACATTATGACAAATTATATACTTATCCAAATAATAGTGAAAGACATAAAATTATTTAAACCAAAGCAACATTGTAGTGATTCATAGGTAAACATGCAAGACTAAATGTAAATGTATATATAAATTACGCGATAACAGCAAAAATATACATATATATTTTAGAAAATTTATTTTACATTTTTTTTATACAAACACATTTTGTTGTTAAGTGATTATTCCGAAAGTTAAGAATAATTTATGTGCAAAAAGTGAATTTTAGAAAAATAAAAAAATTATAGAACATTTTTGTTAAAACGTTTTTTGAAGAAAATATTAAAATCTATAATTTATATTCTATATATGTTTACGCTAAGCGTGTTAGTTTTAGAAATAATGGTTAAAAACTGAAAAACAACCCTTTTAAGCGAATTTCTAACCCAATTCGGTACTATAAGGGGGGTAAGTTATAACGAATAAACGAACATGAAAGTTTATTAAGTAAGAGCCACCCTACTATATATTAATATATTTATAACTCAATAAATATTTATCCTAAAGTTATTATCAATCCATCAACACTTGTAAGAAAAGAGCTAAAAAATCACTATTTTAAAATTTCAAAAAAATTAAAAATGAATTTAAAATTTTTTTATTAAAAATAAATAATAAAAATTTATTAGCATATTTATATTCATATTAACAAGCCATAAGGCTTAATACAAGATTTATTGAAAAATTAAAGTTCAATGTCCTAGAAGCTCTATACTCAAGATCCTTTGAGTTATAATATCATACTTTTATTCACTAATATATAACTTTGAAGTAAATTATTACTAAACACATAATATTGATTAGAAACATTCAACTAAACCATGTAATAATATCTAACATTTGATTTATAAGTAAAAATATTTTATGAAAAAATATATCACCTCTTTCCATTAAATTCATGTTCACTGCCATAATCGCCAATTCCCCAATGTAGATGGAGTTGATCAAACAAATAGAGATCGTCAAATAAAGGTCCACCTGTCACACCTAATTTTATATTTTGGTTGCTTTCCGCTGGTTCTACATGAACTAAAATTTTACAAACTATGTGATTATTCTTAAAACAATTATTTTTTTTCTTTTAATACTGCGATTCCATTTACTTAAATTCTATCTTAATGTTTTCTATTTTTAAAAATAGTATATATTATCCTTACCAGTTCGTCCATTATTTGAGATATTGACATAATATTTTGTGTTATCCCAATAACCTACATGCTCAAAAGGTGGTAATGTTATTTTGGTTGCATTTCGAGTAATTATATTCACTGGTGACTGAACAGGGAATGAAAATCTAGTTTTAACCATAGGCCATTTTGATTTAGCAACATCAGTTCCTTGGTTTATATAATGATCTGTAAATTTGTTTTCATTTAAACTTTAAATTTAATAACTTAATGTCTATTAAAAAATTGTAAAAATTGATGATGTTCTTTATGGTTTTCCTCAATATTTTTCGAGTATAAAAATAAAATTTGATAACTATTGAAACACAAGATATTTTCTAAAAGATCTAAAATTGGATCCTTAAGAAAATTGTTGTCAATATTATTAAAAAATTTAGATACCTAAAAATCATTTTTAAATGATTTTAAATTTAAAAACTTTTATATCTATGTTTGTTTTGTTTTTTTTTCTTATATTTAAATATGATACCAGAAATAAACCATTCACTTATATGAATAGATAGAAGTCATTATGTATTGTTTATTTAGTATTGTTTATTATTATTTTATAATGATATGTTAATTATTCCTTAAACACTTACTGTTGTTATTATGATGAGGGCGCTGGTTACCAACATTTTGGTCTGTGAAGGAATGGTTAAAATAAGATTAATATCAAATAATGTGTGTTGATATTGATAGCCATAAAATATGAATTTGTCTTTAAAAACTTACTATTATTATTATTATTATGGCTATAGCTCGGAAACTCTCCATTTCCAAAATGTTCATATTGATCTATTTTTAATAAAATAATTTATGTAAAACCATAGTTGTAAAAGCACACGAAATAACTATTGAAACTCACTATTGTTATTAGAATTTTGATTGTAAGGCTCATTATTTCCAAATAGTCCATTTTGATCTAATTAAAATTAAACATTTAAGTAAAAGTACTTCAGATTAAATTATTTTTTTCCAAACTTACTATTATGATTATGATTATGATAAAGTTGTTGGTTTTCATAACTTTCAAACTGACCTACTAGACATTACAAAATACCAACATTTCCTAATGTTATTTATTAATTAAATTTAATAAAGTAAATTAAATATAAAATCATAATAGTTCTATAATAATCATACGGTTTATTTAAAAAAATAAAAACTTAATTTTAACTAGAGTATATGCAATCGTTTACTATATATGTTCAGTGTTATAATTTTTATTTTTTTTTTGGTGAACAATTTTTCTTTCTCGTATTTTGACGAAAAGATATCCTTAAATAAGACAATAAAACTTTTCTTCTTTCTTTGTTATTAAAAAAATTAAGGGATATTAAGTTATACCAATAATATTTTATAATAAATGTTATATATATTTAAATATTTTACTTCAACTACTTGCCATTTGTATTTTGATAATTATGTTGAGGGTTTTGATTTTCAACATTTTCAAAGTTGACTATTTATTAAATAATAAATTAATTATTAAAAATATTTAACAAGATGTAGTTTTTTTACAAATGTTATTTTCATTATTTATTTCAACACTCACTATTACTATTTTGGTGATTGTAATGAGGCATTTGACTATGTTGATTGTATGGATCTATTTTTATATTTAAAAAGTTTTTAGTCATAAAGTTTATATTTCCATTTAAATTACTACTTACTACTATGTTGATAATTTGGTAGAGTATAGCTTCCAGAGTAGGAATTTACTTGGACTCTAAAAAAAGTTGTTAAGGAAATGCATAAAGTTAACAATATATTTATTGAAGGCATTTCAGATATTTAATAAAAACAATGTCTCCAAAAACACTAAGAAACATAAACACTGATTATCATGGATAAATTGATAAAGCTTTATTATTTTTGAAATATTAAACTGACTGAATATTAATAAAATGTATTTGAATCCTAAAATTACAAAAAGAAAAACTATTCAATGCCAACGTGAATAAGTAAAACTATTTAATGTATGAGAGAAGAGGGGGGATGATAGAAGTGGTTTTATACTACGTGTTTAGTTATAAATATATTAATGACCCCTCTTACTCATTCCTGTAAGGATTAAGGTGATTAATTATACATAAGTTGTAACGACCAACAATATGATGATTGCGAAAACAAAAATCTAATATTTTAAAAAATGCATCATTAGTATAATACGTATAATTTAAAATTATACTTACAACAAAGTGTAACATATATAATAATATTGAAAACTGATATTGGTAATTAAATTGAATAAATTGTTCGTGTTACTTATCGAATTTACTGTTATGTTTAAAAGCTTATAGGCGTTAAAAGTGAATTAAGAATTATCTGGGCACACTCAACTAAAAAAAGTTCTCCTAATATTAAAAAATTTATTTCAAATATTTCCATCACACTTTTGGTAATTTTACCGTAATATTTAAAACAAACAATGTATAATTAGGTCTATATTAAAAACAAAAACCATCACTGCTGTTATGTTTTACCAATATAAATAAAGTTAATTTTATTTTAGAACATTTTGGTTTTTATATATCTATAGGGAATAACAGAAATCATATTCATTATAAGATATATGAAAAATATATATTGAAAATGCAAAGAAATCTTCAAAAATATTTAAAATATACACCTGACTCAAATTATTGAAGTCTCCTACATTGAAGAACCATAGGAATAATAAACATTTTCGTTTTATCATCAATTAAAAAAACGGTAACACAGTGAGGTCGCGGCACAGTATGATGAACATGTGATAATTGGATCTAGTATAGATGATATCTGACAATAATTAAAATCAATGTCATAAAAAACGTTTCGATGCAAATCGATAGATTGTATTTAATTTTAAAAAATTGGCGAATTTATATCGTATTATCTATATACCAACAATTTAATCGATAACTATCTTCTAGTAAATATGATTAAATTCAAAATAAAAAAATTATTTAATTATATTTTACCATTTTTATAGATTTTATACTATTTATTTATTATTTTTTACTTTTGTAAGTTGTTGATAAGTTAGTTATCATTTTTTTTTATTTTAATGTTATCTGATGATGAAGAAATTTTTGTTACTAATAACCAATTAAACCAATAATTTCACTGACAAATTATTAGTTAGAATAAAAAAATTCTGATGAATTCAAAAATTCATTAAATTCCTGGCACACTAATATACTAGTATATTATATATTTATACAAACAGTGTCTTAAATATCATTATTATTATTATTATAAAATGTATATCAGTTGTACATAAAAACATAGGCGTACAATTTAGAAAAAAATTGTAGCTATTTTTTTTTTTTTTTTGACACTGTAAGAAATGATTCAATATAATACTTTTAATATACACGTTAATTTTACATAAAAGTAGTATAATCCTGATATAAGTATCGAAAATTCGTGCACCAATATAACACTTTTCTCACTATTAATCAAAATTTCTCCTGACATTAAAAAATCCAGTATATGAACTTGAAAACTCAGAATTTTTTTTTAAGAGAGTAACATATAATATATAGTAATTTATAATTTTTTAATAACATCAGGAGCTAACCCCCTGCTATCAATTTTACTTATGCACAAACGGCAGAATAAATTTATCTATCATTTTGTGCAAAATACTGATAAAAAGATTATCTTTAGAAGTTATAATTTTTTTGAAAGTATTTAAAAATTGTATTTTTAAATTTTTATTTACGTAATACAATTTCGTTTATATTTATTAATATTAGTCAAAACTTCAAACAAAATATCAATAATTTAATTTAAAATAATAATTACGAATAATTTTTAAAAATAATACATTAATAAAATTATTAAAAACGGTGTTAAAAAGTGTATTTACAAAATATTATGTATAAACTCAGAAAACATTTGTAATTAAATGAATTATTCAATGTACTCATTTTAAATAAAATTGTCAAACACGAATGATAGGTCGATTGTTAAATGGTTGCAGATCTCTGTCATTCCTATTAATAAGAACACCACGGTTGCGTGATCTTAACGTCCTAAATGCCGAAAGCTATAAAAATAAATTAAACACTTACATTATTGGTAAAACATATAAATATTGATTTATTAGAATTTCACACTCTTATAATCTTTGTAATATTTTTTGTAAAAACAGAAGCACAGTGTGGACGTGGCATAATTGGGACAAGTATAGATGATTAAAATCACAATCATAAAAAATTCTTCAATACAAATCTGTAGGTAGAAACTCTACCTAATTTTACACTAGTTTAAAAAAATTGATGGATTATTCAAAGAGCAACATCAACTCCTATTTCTTTAATTATATCCTGATTAGTAGTTTTTAGATTTAAAAGTATAATTTATGAATAAATATTTATTATATCAACTAAATAGAATATGAAATTTATATTTATATTAAGTATTGTAATTATTACGGAAAAATTATAAAAAATTATTAATTAGACATTACTTTTATAGCAAACACGTATAAAAGTTGAAGGGCTTAATGCAATACTTTAAAAAAAAATTGTTTGTTACTTATAAAAAAAATTATTGGTCTACAAGGAATTTTCATCAGAGACTAAAACTTTTTTTGAAGTGGCCATTTTTTATAATAATGTAATTTTGAGATATTTCTAAAATCAAAGAACTTCTTCAATATTTGTGGATTATTAGTTCAACAAGAATAAAATCGCGTTCTTTTAACGTATTGGCCATTAAAATTGGTCAAGTGAGAGATGAAAAAAAATTAACAACAAACACAAAAATAAACCATATAATAATACATTTTAATATGAATTGAAATGTTCTCCTCACAATGGGAGACTTCAATGATTGGTCCTTGATATTCATTGAAGTTATTAAATCTAAATAAGATAAAAATCAAACATATTTTGAATTTTTTTTTCCCGACTCAAAGAAAGAATTAAAGCTGAAATCATAAAATCGAAAACTTTAACACAAAAATAGCATGTTTTTAAAAACGGCAGCTATTTGCGCGTCGGGACAATTTTTTTTTTAAAATTTATAGTACGCAACATAATTTTTAATTTAACAAATATTTAAAAAACGCAGTATTTCCGGAACATTTTTAAAAGTTGACTTTTGTAAAAATGTTGCTATTTTGAATCTTTACTTGTAGATAGGTAAAGGGTCAGAATATCAAAAAAATTATATCAAATAAAAGCGAAATACCTAAGGTTTCTATTAAAAAAAAAATTATTTCAATTTGTTAATTTTTAAAAAGTTATGGCTGTTTTAAGAAATAAAGTAAAAAATATTACTGATTTTTAAAATTGTAATTTTTTTGGAGATTTATCTCATATAGTCTTCAACTAAATACGATTTGAGATCTTTTGACGTATCGTTGAAAGAAATCGGTCCAGTGTAAGCTAAATAAAAATAGTGACAGACACAAAAAAATTAATTAATTAACACATCATGGTAAAATTAATACATTCTCATCTTCGCATCGAAACTAAAACTATTAGTAAAACAAGTTTATAATTAATTTAGACATTTACAGAGTTTAATTTTATAATAATACTTTATTTATATTTTCTATCATTCTATTTAAAATTCTATATTAAAATTTTTATATTTATTAAATGATTTAGGTTTTGAAATTTTGTTTTTTTCCTTAAAACGTTGATCGACAGTCACTGCGATAGCAGTCATTGTGTTTTAAGTCGTAATTTGACTATAACAGTGATAAAGTTATAACAGTCATATGGTTATACCCCATATATCCTGTTGTGATTTTACATATTTAATGGAAATGAATTTTAAGATTTTAAGGTTATTAACTTTGTTTATTTAACAAAACTATAATAAACATGATATTTAATTATTTTAACTTATATTTATAACAAAAAAATACAGTTTACATAATTCCAGGTTTTAATAATTATAAAAATCTATATTTTTAAAACATATATTGCCTTTAATGTTGACACGGCCCGCGTCGCTTCGTTATACACGATGCCCCGCGACTCGTGCCACCTTTATCAGCCGTCGCCCTACTATGAGTATTTGACTGACCAACACCGCGTGTTATACGCTACGGTGCAAAGTCCAGCAAATGCCGCACGGCCGACGACGACCCGCCGCAAATGGTGCGAGAGTCTTCCTCCCGCTGTGAAAGCGACAACGTCGACAGCCGAACCGCACCCGCGCACCGTCGCCTACAACGCTGCTAACCATTTTGCCGTCCAAGGATTACGCCGAACATCGCGTCGTCGACGCCAGCGAAAGTGCCGCGATATTATGCGAAGATTATTATTACTGTGTTTATCTTTTCGGTTTGTTTTATTTTTGTTAACATAATCTGTTGTCGCTCATTTAATAAACGGCCCACGGGTCTCTACCCTCAAAACCAGTGTCGACCACATTTTTGCGACGCAAGTCGTGTCAATGTATTAGTTCTTTATAAGAAAAAGACCTGTTAAATTATTAGAATTATAATTATATGATGATAGTCTATTAGTACATTGTAGTCATCAAATCTATTGAAAATTAAAACTATATTGAAAATAAAATAAAAAAACCAAAAAAAAAATATTACTAAAATTACTACTTGTTTGTTGCTATTTAAGTTTAATATTTTTTCATTTTAAATTAATAATATTTTTCTATAATTTTTATTTTAAATAATATTAGCATAAATTCATTAAATAATATTAACAAATGATCAATTTTTGCTTCGATACAACGCTGAAAAGATATTAATTTTACTATGATGTTCTTTTTTTTTTGTGTGTCTGTTGCCATTTTTTCTTTTCTTTTACTACTCCAATTTTGATGAATAATGTGTCAAAAGATCACAAATTGTATTTAGTCAAAGACATTACTCACAAAAATTAAAAAAATTTCCCTCGTTCCCCGTAAATNGTGTGTCTGTTGCCATTTTTTCTTTTCTTTTACTGCTCCAATTTTGATGAATAATATGTCAAAAGATCACAAATTGTATTTAGGCAAAGACATTACTCACAAAAATTAAAAAAATTTCCCTCGTTCCCCGTAAATGGGGGAAATTCCCCCAAAAAAATACAATTTTTAAAATTAGTAAATTTCGTCATTTTTTTTATAACTTTTTCAAAAATTTTTTTCATATAAAAACCTTAAATATTTTCCTTTTATTTGATATAATTTCTTTGAAAATCTAATACTTAGCCGCTTACAGAGGAGGGGGGTTAAAATAGCAACGTTTTTACGAAAATTAACTTTTGAAATACTGCGTCCTTTAAATATATATTAAATTAAAGCTTAAGTATTTAAAATGAGGAAAAAAAAATTATCCCGACGACTTATCTTTTATGTGCAAATAGTTGCCGTAGTTGTGTAGTTATTGTGTGTGTTTTTTTTTTTTGGCTGCGATTTATTTTTCCAACCCTCGCTTAACCTACTTTTTTTAACGATATGTCAAATAATAACAATGCGTATTTAGTTGAAAATATTATCCTCACAAATTGAAAACATATCTCTTAATTAAATAAAAAGTAAGTAGCTTAACCAGCTTTATCCATACCAACAATTTAAATCATTCATTTCTAATATATTTAAAGTATTTATTGTCAATTTAGATTTAATATGATATAAGTATTCAACTACAAAAGTAAATAATTTTACTTCGTAATTTTTTAACTCTATTTGTGTGTGCTACTAACAGTCTATAACATTCCAATTTTTTTTTGGAATCATGTTATATAAATCATAAATCTAAAAACAAAATGATTTTTAGCTTCACCTCAATTTAACAATGGATTTTTACAATTATAATCAAATTTTATAATACACTCAATTAAGTAGATCTTTTCAACTATTTTTTTTTTATTGGTATTTTTAGTTAATGTAAAACATTAAAATTAATTCAGTTCTGCATATTTCAATTGTAGAATCTTTTTAAACGCCAAAAGTTAATTAGAAATAATCACTATGATTTCTATTTTAGTGATCTATTACGATAAAAATGCAAAAAATATCGAACTTTTCTGATAAATTTATTGTAAATAGTAATTATAAAATTTCCTGACTCCATATTAATCTTAATAATACATTTTTTACTATTTAATGATGTCAATTTCAAACTTGCAAGTTGAGCTAAAAGTTATGGCAATAAATTCATTTTTTTTATTATAAACTTTCACAAAAAAAGTAGGTTAAAAATGATTACTTTTAACATATTAAAAATCAAAATCAATAATAATTTGAAAACAATGAATTATAAAAATTATATATTATAGTCTTAAATCTAATAATTACTAATCTGGATATAATTAAGGAAATAGAAATTGATTATGCTTTTGTTTATTTAAATGTTTATTCTTATATTACACTTATAAATCATAAAACTTAATAAGATTATAAATAATAAATAGGAAATCATGTAGTCATGTTGCTTTTGTAATTATCCATCAATTTTTTAGAATTAAACAATATCTACAGATTTGCATCGAAGCGTTTCTTACGATAGTGATTTTAATCACTGCCAGATTTAATCTATACTAATTTATACCCAACTATGCCACATCCTCACTGTGCTGTATTTTTTATTATATCAAATCAATACCTGCATTTTTTTATAATTAATCTGATACTTATTCGTAGAGATATTTAAAAGCTAACGATAATTAAATACCAATCTTTATTATAAATCACTAAAAATTACTTGTCTGCGAGATAATTTAAACGGAGATCTATAAGTAATCCAAGTTACACATTCAGAAAACGGTTCTGTGGTTAAAGATCCTGGATACGTGTAATAATGCCGCTGATGTGCTGTCTTTCGTAACCAATAAAATTCTACTCCCACTGGCCTTATAATAAACGAACCAGGTCTTGTAATGTGTTTTAAGTCATTAATAAAGTTTTCTATTTCTTCGTCGTCCTCGTCAGAAATCTAATGTAATAAAAAAAGTATTAGTATAAATAAATCGATTTTCATCATTTTTTTCCTTAATCAAATTAAGTTATTAAATTATAATTTAATTGATAAGACAATATCAACAGTAAATTAGAAAATAACATCATAACAAATGAAAGCTTTCATTTTAATTTTGCAATTAAATAAATTATTATAAATTACAACATGGATATCAATGCATTTTTTATTTATTAAAAAACAAAGTTTTTTTAGTGCAGAATTCAATTTGCGGAAGTTAGAACTCAAAATTTAACTTTTTTTTAAATTTTTAAAGTTTTATAAAAGCAAGTTTTTTATACGGTATCTAAAATTATATATTCACCATGTAAAATTTTGGTAATCTTCTCTATATTCAGTAAGAACAATTATGTAAAAAACAATTTTATATTTAACTTCTACATGTTACCCCAATGATAAAAAATATACAATTTTAATATTAAAATTCTGAATGATATACAACTCTGTGTAAGGAATCTATAAATCTAGGATTTATTATATTGTAGACCTAAAGTGAAATTTAGAGAATTAAAAATTTTCTACAATTTTTAAACAAATCTAGGTTTTTATTATTGTTTATTTTTATTATATATATATATATTGCAAAGTAAATTATTTATTTTTGTTTTCTACTACGATAAGATGTTAAAAGAGATGAAATAAAATCAGTAAACCTCATAACTTTCATTTTATTCCGATGTATTTGGTGATCAACTGTGTCGATTGCTTTAGCTAGATCTAAATATATTGTTGCTCATTTTTTTCCTCGCCAAGCCCCATTACACACAAGTTTAGTTACTCCTACTATTACTTGGTCCGTACCTTTACCTAGCCTAAATTTAAATTGATTTTTAAAAAACAAATTGATTGATTCTAGGTAATTAAGTAGTGTTTTTTTTAATGACTTTTCCGAATATTATTGCTAATGTTTGATATAACTGATATAGGTCAATAATTACTGAACAATGTAGTGGTTCTTTTTTATGTATTGGTATTTCTGATGCTATTTTAAAGTCGTCAGATACTTGATTTTGAGATATACATAGAATAAATATGTGAGCTAGTTTCATACCAATAATATTAGTATGTGTCTTTAATAGTTCAGTGATTATTTTGTCAGTTCATAGTGATAGCCATTTTAGCTTCGATGCGAAGCTGAGAAGGTATTGGTTTTACTAAGATGTGTTTTTTTTTTTTTTTTTTTTTT